AGACAGCATTATAATGTGTGGAGACTGTGACTAGGATACACTTGTCACAGTCTCTAATTCCTGACTCATGTGAAAGAAGAAGGGTCTGAGACAAACCGAAATTGTTCTCAATTCATGTGTGCCCATGAAAAGCGCAGCTCGCAGCAGAGATTTCAGACTCAGTTTGTTTAATTGTGGATGGATCTGGTGGGTTAGGCTACTTACTTACTAGTCACCGACAAACTGCAGAGTAACCTTCTTGAATGGATATGAAACTTTCTCCAATAATGAAGAATACAAAATAGCTGGCATACAGCTCCAGATCCAAAGTGGTTGTTTTTAGTCCATTTGCATTACACTTACACAACCTTAACCAAGTCTATAAACCAAATACGTTTCAATTCAAAGCATAACTGATTAGGTGAAAAAAATAGGCGACTAAAACGAGTTTAGTATTGGTGCCAGGTGAACAACTTTGGTAGTTTCCTGTGTCCTTGTTTAAATCCTTCCTTTTTAGTTTCACACGCGTCTGATGAGGGGGCACAGTGTCAGGCAGAAGCTGGTGTGAAACAGGATTTGACCCCATGTTGTTTAGATGCAGTGCCGTGAGCTAACGTTAGGCTAATGTCGTGCTAATGTAGCAGAGCAGCGTGACCGCAGCCTGTCTCTCCCCACACTGTACGCTCCAAACTTCTTTTGTTCGTTGTAAATCCAGTTTTTGATGCTGGTCCTTTAAGATTTGGCTGTGAGAGATCTTCCCTCTGGGCTGCAGCGCTAATCCACAATTGGGAGATTACTCGAGTGCAAATTTAATGCCTTTGCCGTGAACTGTGGTGGTGCTAGTTTACATACGGGCCACTGGATTAAGCCTTTAGTTCCTCTGAACAACTTTTTTTTATCATTTTGACTTGGCACCAATTGACTCTGAATACATAAATGTGACCTACACATTTTGGCTGAGTATGATCTGTTTGTAGTGTAGACCTTATTTCTGTTTATGAATACATGTCCAACATAAAAACACACACACACACACACACACATCCTAGTGGTGGGGGAAAAACGATTCTGCCAAATTGTATTCTGTAATCTGTAAATAAAGACGGAAGTATTTACACAATGACAGGGTGGACTCCAAAGAAATTGGTCTGATGGCCTCATATGGGCCTGTGTGCCTTTATTTAAATACTAGAAACATATCTTAACACTCCAACAGTGAAATCTTCATATTTCCTGTTAGATATTTCTGTTCTTGGGTGAGTTTGGCAGCGGAGTGCTATCTGTCGTCTGCAGGTGCTTCTGACTAATGGTTTCTCTCTTCACTGCTCCTGTCACTACTCTCTCAGGGAAATCACAGAAATGGAGCGAATTGGAGCTCACACCAGGTCCTGAGCCGAGGCCTGGAAGATGGGGATAAAAGCTTAAAGACAGGAGACATGTGGAATGATGTTAGATATGGAAGAAGATTTGGTGACTGTTATTATGGCCACGTAGAGGGAGGCAAAGTTTAAACTACATATTCTGCATGTAAAGCTTTTTGAATATCCCAACTTGGATTTTGTTAAACTGTGTGAGTATCTAAGAATGAATGGACGGATAGATGGATGAGTATAATTGTTCTTTTTAAGGGAAAGTGAATCATTTGGATTTGAATATTGTGAAACCTTTGTAACAGGGGATTCTTAGCCCTGGAGGGGATTGCAATTTTTTCCGAACACTTTACCCTGTCTTGAACTATTAGTTGCCTGCAGAACTGCTGAACCTTTCACAATAGCTCTCTCTTTTAGTTGTAAATACACATTTATAGATTGTTGTTGAGTGTCCATCAAAGCTTAGAGCCCTTATCACTTATGCATGTCTACCACTCCAGCTTCACTCACAACAATAAAACATTAATAATTCTTCAGAGTCCAGAAATGGAATAAAACAATACCTTTTAAGTAAGGCTTTTTTTAGTTTAAACTTGAAGAATGCAAGTTACTGAACCTCTCCACAGATGGGCAGTGGTCTAATGGACGTTCAAAAATGCAGCAATACTCTATAAGAAGAAGACATTTTCACAAAATGTGGTTCAGAGAAATAGTTTAACAAATCCCTTCCTGTCCTTGTTTACTTTGAGTGTTTGATTTTCGACAAGCTATAAACTAACAAATATGACTAATTATTATTATATTATAAATTACTATATATGAATTGTGTATTTTTTTACAAAGAGGTTTAGCAAAATGACTGTCGAGCTAATTTTTTGAGCTGCTGATTTAGTTCCAGGTTGTAGGATGCACAAAGATTAAGGGAAAAAGCTATTCATAAAAAATAAGATTTAGTGAGGAGTGGACAGCTCTCAGCAGCAAGAATTTAGTGAGACTGCTTAAAAAAATCATAACACAGAAGCTAAAAATAGGGACAAAACGCAAGTATTTGGTGTCTGCAGGCAATCAGGATATGATAATATGAACTGTCCATTTGGAAAACCTAGTTCCCATAAACAATTGCACCTAAGCAACACAGAAATCTTACATCCCACGCTCCACTGAAGCGGTCCTCCATCTTTCTATCCCTTCTTTATTAAACCTTTGGTCTCCTGCTTCCTCTCTCTGTAACCTTTCCTTGGACTCCTCAGTGGCTTTTCTTGGATTGGTCTCCTCCTCTGTTGAATTCAAAGATGATTAGAGATTGTGTTACTGTAAATTGCTTCTCTGGAAACATCTCTCATGGCTGCAGTGTTGCGGTTTATGTCGGGCTGGTTGTATTTGTCATGTTTTTGTTTGCAAGTGTTTTCTTATGAGGAGGCTGCAACCCGCTAAGAATCATTTTGCTCGAAACAGAGAAGCTTTGTGTCCTGAATTTGTAAGTAATAAGAGGAAATAGGGAAGAGGGATTACGGGCAATGATTTGACATAGTCTCAAAATTGTCTCATTCTGAACTTGATATACTGTGGATGTTTTTGTATTTCTACAGAATCTTAATCACATCTCTGCACCTACAAATGTTATTCCAAGGCCACCACACTTGAACACAATGTCCCTTCTGTCGCTACAATAGATTTTGGTTCCAGTTCCAAAAAACTATAAATGTAGCTGCCATTTTGTAGTTTCTTGGGAGTCTGTAGTTTAGCTGAGGGTAGAAAAGGCACAACATTGATTATATTTCAGATGTCAGCTTGTAGTGCTTTTATTTTGTTGTTGATTTGCATTGAAAATAACAATTGTATCTGACATTTCAATATTGAACCCTAACAATTTGTCATTTGGTGGCTTTGGTTAAATTTGAATGGATTTTAAATAGTACAAGTCCAAAGGTTGAACTAATATTGAGATCTTACTTTTTAGCAAGATCGGCCAGCCCTAGATGATTCCAATCTTCAATTAAGCAAATGTGAATGAAGCTAGATGCAACTCCATGTATCTTTTTGATGAATTCTGTTACAAATAGGATATTTTGTTCGAGTATTTTTTGTTTATGCGGCATAGTTTTTTTGTTATATATTTTAATACTATGTCATTTTGACTCATTTGAAGTAAGACCCAAGAAGAAAAACGGAAAACTGGAGCCGCCAAGAAATATATTTTAAAAAAACATCGGCCATCCGCTTGTTATAGTTGTTATATTAAACATCGGTAACGGCCCAAAATGTCACAATCGGTGCATGCTACTACTTTCACTGACAGAAAATATTATTCTCGTTAACAAGCACAGTCCTTCTATATTTGTTGTGTGTGTCTAAGTTGGGCCGTGCACAACTCTTCCTCTTCTTAATGCTAATGTAGAAGCACGTCTTCTCTCATGTCCCATGTTTTCATCCTGTAACACATTCTGGCAGGCAGCTGGAAGAAGCCAGTTTATATTTACCAGAACTGCTTCTTATACTGTGTAGTGTAGAGGTAACAGGCCTTTCCTCTGATCTGAAAGGAGATCTCAGATAATGATTTGCCCGTTATAGATACGTCACATTCTTGAACATACATGGCTTACTGCAGCACATAGGGACATATCTGATCCACAGTGACCTCTGTGAGCTTCTCTGGCTCGCCCCGGTACATTCGTCTTTGTCTCCTCAACCATTTGTCTCCTTCAGTGCTGACCTTCTGAGCCTCCCTGGTACAGTGTATCTATGAGGGATTGTGTCTGGTCAATGCAACGCTTAATACAACCACATGAGTTTTTTTTCAATGTTAGACAAGTGCGGAAGCAAACAGAAACATGATTTTGATGTATGTTGTCGTGTTGTCGCAATACATTTCAGCCTTGATTTTTCATACATATAACACAAATTGGATGTTCAATGAGGATATCACTGTAATTTCTTTTTGTCGACTCTTGTTCAGATGATCATTTCATGTGTTTGATCAACGGCTTTTTAAAATACCAATGCAAAGAGAATACATGTTAGCACTATATCATTTTGTCATTTTTGTTGTCATACGTTTTTTAATTTGCAACTATCTTGAAATACGAAAGACTACATTATCTTCAAACACAATTGTAGAGCATTTAAAACTAGTTTTTAGATATATCAAATACAAAAACATGTTATTGATGAAAAGGGGACGTGTGAATGTCTCAAAAGATTGTAAATGCTTTCCCACCTCCCCTTTTCTTTGACAATCAATGCAAAGTATTATAATGTTTTGAAATAAATGAGTCTTTCTTCTGAACTGAATAAAAAGACACAATAAGTGAAAAGATCCTCAATACTGAAAAAAGGCTGTACGATTAATTGTAATCAAATCAAGATCGCATTGATTGTGTTTCTAATACATATATCTAAAGCTGGCTTAGAAATATAAGGATCACTGCAACTACCAAAGTAGGCTTACTTAATATTCACTTAATAATAGTGCGTTTTGACTGTTTTATCTTCTAATGGTAAAGGCAAGTGCAGTCTTATCACAGTCTGTGGTCTTATCTAACTGAAGCACAATGGGGTTTTGCAAAGTGAGTATTTGCAACTCAAATATGTAAAATATGGTAAAATGAATATGTATGTAGCCTCTAACCCTGGTCTCCTCTCTCCTCTCAGATGGAGCCCACAGTGTCTCGGCTCAGTGCATCCTGCGTGTTCTCATCATCACAGAAGACATGTTGGGCAGCAGCGTCACGGTCCGCCTCCACAACATGTCCCAGGACCACTTCCTGTCCCCGCTGCTGTCCCACTTCCTGGAGGGCGTGTCTGCGGTGCTGTCGGTGCCCGTGGAGGATGTCTTCATCTTCAACATCCAGCCCGACCACGACACCTCGCCTCAGGGGAAGACCATCCTGAACGTGTCCTTCTCAGCCGCACTTCCTGGTGGTCGCTTCTTCCCCTCCGAGGCACTGGAAGAGCAGCTGTATCTGAACAGGCCCCGGCTCACCGCTCTCACACAAATGGAGGTACAGGGCGTATTATCTATAATAGACTTGCTTTTAGATCCATGCTTTTAGATCACGCTAACATGAGGAACTTGTGGCCCCTTCTGTCTAAAAGCTCCTGTTGTATGGTGTCATTGTATCACTATGACATCACGCCCAAAGCAGTGTTCTGCCTTTTAAAACAAAAAAGAAATACGTTTTGACAATTTAAATTTATTTATTTCTCCCTGTGGTGGTGGGAGCAGTTAAAGGCAGAAAGCCATATCATGTTATACTTATTTCACCATATATGATCTACTTAGTTATTATTAAACTAATTTATTATTTCATATTCAAAAATTAATTATTCTCATTATAATTTTTTATGCACAAAAATAATGCATCATTTTTCTAAGTAAGGGATATTGTGAAATATTGAGACATGTGCTTCTTTGATTTTATTGCACTCAAAGAGGGAAAGAAAGAAATTATGCATCCTAATTATGGAAATACTCTCCAACAAATCCAAAAATATTTTTAAAAGGGTTATCTTTGAGTACAAAGATCAAGGCTATGCTCACACTCAGAGAGCAGCCGTCCTCCTGTGGACTCACCACCTGCAGAGGGTCAGTGAGGGGCTGGTGCTATGAGACTTGGGTGGCATCTCTGACTGCCACCCCCCTGACCCAGAAATGGATTAAAGGGTAGAAAATGGAAATGGATGGATGGATATCTTTGAGTACTGTCGCATGTTTGCTTGGTGTCAAATCTGTTTTCTTGTTCTTCAAGTGAGAGCATAGACGCTCCAGTTTCCCTCATTAGAATAAACATGTCCTGACCATGAATCTGGCTCAAAAATCTGCCAATTCTAGCGCTGCATCATGCATGTTCGTCCTTTAAAACATTGCTGTCTGCATAATTCCAAAAACATTTCTTTCTTGAGGATGAGTTGAAGTGAGCTAGTTTTCGCTGAGCAGCTGTAGACTTTCCACTGCAGTAGTTTATAATGACTTAATGTGGATTTAATGCATCGGCAAACACGCAGCTGGAGTCTGTCAGAGTTCAGATACTGGCAAAGTATAACACATGCTCTTTTCAAATCAAACCTGGAAACATGGCGGCGCTGCCAGGATTGGGCTGGTAATAGAAGATACATAAACAGTGTACGATTGAAATACGAGTCAGGGAAGATTAGCTCTCATTGGAAAACTTCTAATATGCTCACGCCTCACGCATTTGTAGAGGAACATATGGGGAACATTTGCTGGAGTTCAGCATTTACTGTGAGCAAGACAAACGAGTGTTGAAGCGAGAAGTAGGCCAGTGCTGGTGTGAAGTGGGCGACGCCTTGCCGGAGAATGGGCAATTGTTGTATTTTGAGGAGTTATTTTATAAACTGTTACTGAGTCAAAATCAAACTTCTGCAAAACTGGGCCAACATTTCAAATACCCACCTGCAGTAGGGCGACACGAAAACTAGATACAAGTAAAAAATCTCTTGCATTTGGGAAAATGTTCCTAATGTTAGTATATTTGTCAATGGAATTCTTTACCTTAAGTTTGGGCAGAAGCATTATTTTCTCTTTCCAAATGAGACATCTGAGTTTAACTTAATTCAAGCTTTATATATATTATTACAATTTATCATTAAACATATCAACGTTTAATGCAATTAGAAATGCAAAAACAATGAGGTCCAACAAAGTACAATATAAACTAAGATTAAATTCTTGTTGTGATAAAACGACAGAATAATGATGTGAAGGGAAATAATGAGATGGACCCACAATGACTTAATGTAATATCAGTTTATATGAAGCTGCTGTTGATACATTTAAACTTAATTAAGTGCAATATTATTCTCTGAAGGTAGAGAGGTTGTATTAACAAAATTATATTTTTGTCAAGGGTTACAGGGTTTTGATTATGTATTATTCAATTCAATTCAATTTTTTTTTTGTAGAGCCCTATAACAGCAGTTATCTCTGAGGACTTTACACAACCATTGAATTCGCCAACAAAGAGAAACAGAAAACACATTGGTTTTGGTCCATGAGGGGCAGATGATAAGTGTTGATAAATTATGCTGAATGTTGAACAATCAACACTTTTACAGGTGTGGTTCTTGCTGACTTGTTGAGGCAAAACCACCTAGAGACCAATTGAGAATGATGTATTAATGAAGTGAATAACAACATTCTTCAATTCATTTCTCATGTAGAGGAAAAAGACAAGTCCAACAACCTGGAGGTGTTTTGAAAATGACCATGTCTCATTCACTTGCGGCAAAAATAATTCACCGATTTGTTTCCAAACATGTTCATAAGTGACTGCAGGACTGAGGCGCAACACCAATATTGATTTGTCCTGATGTTCTTCCAGGTTCTCCCATTCGACGATAACGTGTGTCTGCGTGAGCCCTGTCAGAACTACATGAAGTGCATCTCGGTGCTCAAGTTTAACTCGTCTGCACCGTTCATCTCGTCCAACTCCATCCTGTTTCGACCCATCCACCCCATCGCCGGCCTGCGCTGCCGCTGCCCGCTGGGGTTCACCGGGGACTACTGCGAGACAGAGATTAACCTGTGCTACTCCAACCCCTGTCAGAACGGAGGAGTGTGTGCGCGCAGGGAGGGCGGCTACACGTGCATCTGCAGGGAGAACTACACAGGTACGAAGCATGGGTGATTGATGCTGTGTTTTTATTATTGTTCTGATTAGGATTAGTGTAGTCGATTGTAAAATAGATTATTTATTTATTCATGTATTTATTTAATTGGTAGAGACAAGTGTACACAATTGACATGTGACGCACTACAACATTTATAGCCAAGGCTATTTTACAATGTCTGTTTTCTATACCAGTGGCAGAAGGTATTCCTGATTCAGAAAAAAAGATTGTGATAAACGATAATGTTGACTACCTCTACCACTATCACTACTTGTTAGTACAATAAAGCCAGATTCCATTGAGCCAGAATCGAACCACATACAGCTGAAACCTTTTTGTTTCACATTCAAAATACCAAAAATCTAAATTTTTGAAAAGAAAATGAATGCATTATGGACAATAATACATATTATATATAATAATATATATTTTTTATATATTTATCAGTAATCATCTGTACAGGTGTATTGTTGATTAAACTAGTGTGGGGAGATGTTTAGACTTCGGTGGGACATTGCTGGAGCTTATAAATATTTATGAATACTGACTGACAAGAATTATACATTTTAATTCTCTAATTTGATCCTTTTTCATGGAATGGAAATGCTGGTAATGGATTCCAATATCAAGTGTTTGTCTGGTTGGAAACGGAGACACTATTATTCACCCTTTTCTCCCATGCCTCTTTACATCTCTCATACATCAACCTTCTGCCTTCAACAGGTGTCTTTACCTTCTTTCTATCTGATCCAGTGAAGTGCCAGACTGAGTGTTGCGAGTCTAAACCGTTTGTAGGAGCCTGTTTTTGTCAGGTTGTCCCAGATCGACGTTGTTCTTTGGTCTAAAAAAAAAAGAAAAAGACATGAAAACGTGTAGCGCTGCCTCCTGGGAAGAGTCTCCACCTCCGTTTACTTCAACACGCTCGCTCAAAGAAATGTATAAAGACACACGAGTTCAGAAAGAGGGGGAATACCAGCAAACGTGAAATATAATGATGTTTCTGTCGCTAAAAATATCTCTTACAAACAGAAGGAATATTATAATGCAGTTCTCCTCTGTTTGGTCACAAGGTGTAACTGACAAAACTTGTTTCATCCTCGCCACAGATGATAAACGCTAGTGTTGCGTCTCAATGTGAAGCGAATGAATTATGCAATTTCTAAATAAGTCCTTTACTGCATGATTCTCAATTGGAAAAATAAATGTAGCTTTTCAAGAACCACAATAGTTGAGATAATGGGAGCTTGGAGAATTTTACCTTCAATAGCGATAATAGTCTCAAACAGCTCTATATGTGTAGGCCTTTTATTTCCTGCAATCTTGCTTTGTTTAATGGAATTCAAGTATTAAATTTAAATTATTTGTTTTATTTAGTCTTCCGTCAACAACAACATGAAACAACAACAAACAAACAATTTCACATTCATTTCTCAAACATGAATGAAAAGGGTGAAGCTGAAAACCCTTATTTTGCCTTCCCTCATTAACAAAAACAAGACATTTCAAGATGTAGGAAAAATTAAATTCTGAACTGAAAATATACATTGATAACCACATACTTCAAAATCATCATCATAAACACCATTCAGTGATTTAAGGTCTAAATTAACAATTTATTGCCTTCAAAATAACTTTAATTTAAAAAGATCCGATATTTTTTGTCATTGATTCCCAGCCGTTGAAATTAAGAAGATCAAACTCACAGGTCAAGCTAAAATACAAAAAATCATGTAACACAGTGAGAATCGGCCAATCCTTTTGTCTTGTTCCTTGCACAAAATAAATTCCACAAATCATTGCTTTTCACCTTCTTGTATTCTTTTCATTATGTTTGTAGAGTAGACAGTAGGATCAAAAAACCAGAGGAAACCAAGACCCAACCGATGAAGAAGTGTGGTTTTTTTCCCCCAAATCCTAACAGATATTTCTTCTACAGCCTGTTCTCTCGTATTCTGCTCTAAATGTCTTTGCAGAGTTATAACAGACAGAGCGGAGTGTGTCTTGGGATTCTTCACTTTTATTTAGTTCTTCACAGAGGACGAATGTGGAAGGAACAAAACAATGAATGAAAAACAGACAGACTCCCACTGAGGCGGAGACAGATCAGCCACGCAGAGAGGAGGCAGTTTGGACGAGTACAATGTGACTAGTGTAGCAAACATCTTATCCGTCTGTGATCGACTTGAGAAGCTGCTGTTATTATAAAGACATTGATCTTTTTTTAAATCGATTAGTTGAAAAAGAGGTGTGGCAAAAGCTGTCAAAATATTCAGAGATATCCACAAATCTGATTCAAACTAGACTCTTAACAATCAATCCATGTGTGAAGTAAGTTAGTGTTTTACATTGTATTGTATTGTATTTAGTTCTATCAGCACGTTCTGTACAACATAAATACATAAGTTTGCTCCAATGCTAATCACACACAAATAAGTAACCCCTACACTGTAAACCCTGACAAGTAAAGTTTACTTGAAAAAACCATGCAAATAAATTGCGTATTAACTTCACTTGAATTCCTCGAGTACATCTTTTACTTGATATTACCAAGTAAACTCGAGTGATTGCAATAAAGTTTAAATTTTTACTTATGCTCCGACCGGGATTCGTACTCAGAACCCTGTAGTTGAGAGGTAATGGTGCTACTCACTCAGCCACCAGGACACCCTGCCGTTGTCACACCTGCCTCATTAAAGACTCTACACGTCAAAATGTCAAAAGTGAGGCTTACTTGAACAGAAACAGTTCAATTCAAAGAAAACCCTGAGTGATATAGCCAAGCTTTAAATAAACTAACAATAAATGAGTAATATCTACTTACTGGGAAAAATCTATTTAAAATAACTTTGATATCTGAAGTAGGATTGAAGTTAGGGTTTACAGTGTAACCCAGAATACACCCTGAGTTTTTGCCCATACAAAAACTACCAGAACATTGGAGAATATTTTAAAAATAACTATTTTGAATCTCCAATTACTTGTCAAAATGAATCTAGATATGACCATCCATCCATCCATCCATTTTCTTCCCCTTAATCCATTTCTGGGCCGGGGGGGATGGTGGCAGTCAGAGCTGCACCCAGTACACAGCACCAGCCCCAAATATTAACTAAATATGAACACCAGATTATTACATTTCTTTTGACGAAAACACAATTACATGTACAATGTAAAGAAACTCCACTTGGCTTTGCTAAGCCTGTAAAGTATGGTACAAGTGTCAGGCGTCAAAACTACAATGTCATTATAAGCTTGGATTATTGCATTATTAAAATACTTCTGTTTAGGGTGTTGCTATAGTTATATATAGATTTTTTTTTTAATCAGACATGAGGACATTGTCTTGAAACACTTAGTTACAGTTAAAACAATACACTGTTCTTAGAAAACCAAGCCTCAGGCAACCACCCAATAAACGTGGACATGATTGTAGGAAAAGACCAAGCTTTGCGTCTGCAGAGACTGAAGCGAGCAGACCGATCAGGCTTTGGGCAGAACTGGAGCACAATCCTCCAGGGGACGCTGCAGAAGTGAAGGTCAAGACTGTGATCACAGACTGGAGTTGTACGGAGGATTTTAGGGCTGTTTTAGGGGCTTGCGTGGGTGTGCGGTCTGGTCCTCACTGGAGGGGAAAATGGGGAAACAGAGGCATTGATTTTTCTCCAAAAAATAATGTCTCCCATTCTATTTAACTAAGCAGTGTGTGTTTGTCTTTTTGGGAATGGCTTTTCTATTGTATTGGAAAACCTGTCTCCAATGTATTAAAACTCTAGTATACTATAAATCTAACTACATTTATCTTGGGGAAAAGTATAGTTCTTAGTCACTTTGTTGATAACTTCCTGCCTTCCTCAAACATATTACTCAAACTGGCAGACTGGAGAGTTCAAGTGAGACAGGGTCTCTGCTCCCGTCTGCTTTTCCAAACCTCAAGCTTTCAATCTACTCTTTACTCATTACTGAGTGAAAGACTCATTAGTGACTGTGGTAACGAGGGGTTCAATAAGAACTAAATAAGTGCATTTATCTCTGCTTGGTCTCTACCATTGAATGTATATAGGTGCAGAATGCTAACCCTTTAGCTCAATTAAGCCCAATAAGGAAGTGGTCTAGGACAAAGTTTTGACCAACATTGAAAAGTAAACTCATCTAGCTAACTCCTTGTTTCACACTCACTATTTTGAGCTGAAAAAATCTGTGGTTTAGTCACTTTAGTGCTCTCGTTGATCTTGTGTTTATCATATTGTCTTTGTAAATCCAGATATGAGCCTTATCTATCCACCAATTAGATGCCTTCATTCACAGGGGAAACTCCAGTTTGTAGCAGCACATCTACCCCCGTGACGGCTCAAAGCTAACCCTGTCAGAACAAATGCCTATATATGGTAATAGACTCAAACTGGCTTAAAATCAAATCAGCTTCTTAGCCAACACTATGGTTTATGTCATAGAAAAAGTAGCAACAAGCTCCTTATGGTTCAAAACTTATTTATAGTTTTTTTGGATTGATGCATAATGTAGGAAGACCAAGAGGGATGGATTGAATTTGATTTTTGACTAATAGCCATAACTAACTCTAGAATAAAACTAAAGCATGTTTGTACATTTCCACAGCCTGCTTAGAACTTTTTTTTTTTCCCGTCCTGGGAGAGCAAAGGTGGCCTCTGTCAAACTCAGGCAAGAAGTCAAACCATCAGAGAAAACTCCTCTGCAACTCTCATGTACGACATCTGAAGTCAACATGCAACAAGAGGCCCACAGCTATTCAGACCAGCACTTTGCACCACAACCTGCCGAGGATGGAGGAGAGAGGAGAGAGGAGAGGGGAGAGGGGAGCGGAGGTGTGTTTCGGACCCTGGAGACGGCACATGTTTGAATGGGAGAGAGTAGGAACGCTGGGGGGCCACAACGATCCAGCTTTGATGAATAAAACATGGTGTGAATGCATTAAGTCTGAGAGGAGTGGGTTATATATAGAGACAGAGGCACAGGAAGGAGCG